ATTATCAAAAAATTGTGCCGGAATTTTTTCTTGATTTACCGGAGCTCCGGTATTTTACAGTAGAATTTTGTGCTCTGCTGCAAAGCGAAAACATGCAATTTCGGTTTTTGACAGCTCCGCTTTTCAGAAACAGTGATCAGATTCCTGATGAATCATAATAAATTCTATAATAAATTCTATTTAATGAATCATGTCTGATGAGTCGTTTCTATAAAATGGATTTCGGAAAACTTGCACATTCAAATAATAACATACTCAATTGTCGTATAGTGTGATGTAACTTTACGTAATAATTGAATTACCTTGCCTATCTCTAATTGCAATATCGATATCGATATCATTTGCACGTACTCGGAAGTTGATCAAAAAACTAACCATGATAAATACTACAGATGATCTCAAGTTTAAACCTGTTACCAATTTTCTTAATTAGTGAATCCGCTATCAGCTGGGTCTTGTACATATGTACTTATCAGTAAAGTATTAATTTTTGAGTCTTTAATCAAATTTTGTTTAGAAAAACCACGCTACAAATTCTACTTCGTGTGTGCAATCCTTCTACTCTTGGAAAAGCCGGTTGGTAACGCCTTTTCTTTGGGAGTATAGAATTGGGTTTTTACAACACCCACGGGAACCGTCTCCCTTTGGCGGTACGCCTTCGTGTGTACAACCCTTATCCCCTTGGAGAGACCGGTTGGTAAATATCAATACTTAATCCACACTTCAACTTATCAGTCATTTTTAAATCGTAGCTCTTAAGATATTGTTTTATTTATTATATCTACTTAATATTTATCAATATTTAAGATCTGAAGAATTTAATAATTGGACAAGCAGCAATGATGACATCGGTAAATATTTTTAACAAGTTAATTGCAAAGGTATATAAAGAAACCATTGAATAGATATTTTCGACAAATTCACTATTGTAAAGTATTTTGCCAAAAGAGGTTTTGGCACCTCCTTGATGGATGTGACTATGATAAGAGTCAATTAAAGAGAAAGCCGTAAATAGAAGTTTGCTTAAAAGTCCTATAACACTAAAGATATGAAACGAGGATTTTTAAATGAAGTATACATTATATAATTATTATTATTATGATTATTGTTATTATTATTATTTGTTTTATTTATTCTAATTAATAATTATATTAAAAATCAATATAAACGTGAGGTTATTCAGCAATTGAAATTTATGGAATACAGTAATTAAAAATAATTATATGGTGGTTATGCAGTATGAGAAGCAAGGAAATCTCAGATAGAAAATAAGACAATTTATATTGGAATTCCTAAGTTGAACCTTATATTACATAGCTGAAAGGCTTAATACAATTCACGAAGCCAATTTTGATGCATAAAGATTTTTGTTCCGGAAATATAGTTAACGAAAGCATGTTATGGATTACGTAAGCTAATGTCTCAAAATTCAAGCACCGAAGAGATTTTTGGAGAAATTACCTACTCGACTATCGATACTGCAAACATGTGAATGGAAAACTATCAGATTATACATTAGAATATTAAGGTAATGTTCCTTTGTTCTCTGTCTAAAAAATCAAAATTACATCAGAATCCCAATAAGAATGTTCCAAACATTTAAGCTATACTTAATTTATTGATATTATTTAATATCCCCCTGAGATTCATACCCTCTACGATTTCTTTGTAAACACCCCAGAAGCTAAAGTAATACTCCTTTATTTATTTCATGTTCTAAATTTTAAAACAGGTAAATCAACTACAGATGTACCAATTAATTCACATAAACTAAATAAATCGATTATTACCAAAAACGCTTGGTGCGATACTTTTGACTAGGTTATCGAAAATTCTTTCATCTCTGTCCATCTTATCCAAAAGTTCTTTCTCCATCCCTTTCATAGACTTAACAAATGCTTCATAATCACTTTCAAAATCGTCTACTTTCGTTAGTCTATTATAAGCATCACGCTATTTTTTCAAGATAACGAATGTTAAAAACGCTTAAGTCAGAATAAAAAACCATCAGTTTTGATTAAAAAAATGATCTGTACCTTTGCGTCAACAGTATGAACTGTACATGCCAAAAAAATATTTTATATGATAAATCTCTAGCACCAAGAGACTTTAGATCCAGCATTAGCTAATCCTTGAAACTACTA